GTTGATCGTGATCAAGATTTGATGGACGTGATACTTTCAGTGCTTGATGGAACAACAATTGATGGGTTTGATGCCAATACCATGATCAAAGCCACAATATTGGTACGTATATATATAGACTTAATTGAGTTCTCTGTTAAAAAATGATATTTCCTCAAAAGATATGTGCAGAGCTTTTCCTATAGCATTCACATGTTAAAACCCTTTCCAAAATTATAATTTTTTGAGGTGTGTTTGGTATGGGTCGATTTTGAATTTTTTGAGGACCACGAATAGCCTTTTTATTTGCTTGAGACAAAAACGAGTATCGTGAAATTTGCCGAGGATCAAAAAAAAATATTTACTCATACAATTATTTGCATCCCAGCTAAATATTTTTTTGTTCCCTCCAAGCATTTTAAACTCAAGTGTTAATACTAAACTAATAAAGAATAAAATGAGAGAGATTCAAGCGGTATGAAAATTACAACAAATTATTTTAACGTGCAAATAACATGTTTGTTTGCTTTATTTCTTGCTTTACAAAAGCTGAGTCTATTATTTCTAGTTAAATGCATTAATATAAAGTTTCCTGAAGATAATTGGAATGTTTTTCTTACGAAATTTGTACTAAATTTGCAGACATTAATTGCGGGAGGAACTGACACAAGCAGTGCTACTCTTACATGGGCATTATCTTTGATATTGAGAAATCCTCTTATATTGGAAAAGGCAAAAGCAGAACTTGACACACAAGTTGGGAAAGAGAGGAGTGTTAGTGAGTCAGATGTAAGTAACCTAATATATCTTCAAGCTATAGTCAAAGAAACACTAAGATTGTATCCACCAGGTCCTCTATCAGGACCTCGTGAATTCATAAACAATTGCACATTGGGTGGCTATGATGTCAAAAAGGGAACTCGATTAATCACAAATCTTTGAAAGATTCACACTGACCCTAATGTGTGGTCAGATCCATTGGAATTCAAACCAGAAAGGTTCCTTACAACTCATAAAGATATTGATGTTAGGGGTCATCATTTTGAGTTGTTACCATTTGGAAGTGGTAGAAGGATGTGTCCTGGATTATCCTTTGGCCTACACATTGTTCATTTAACTCTGGCCAGTTTTTTGCATTCCTTTGAAATCTTGAACCCATCTTCTGAACCTATTGACATGACTGAATCCTTTGGATTGAGCAATGTCAAAGCTTCTCCACTTGAGATTATGGTTAAACCGCGTTTGTCTCCTTATTGTTACGAAACTATGTAATCCTTATGTGAGTCGTGCAATCTGTGTGTTCCTTTGTGTATTGTTGATTGTAAAATTATGTGATGCTTTCTAATCTATTTAATTTGGTTAAATATATGTCACCCAAGATATTATGAAACCATGTCTCCCAACTGTTATGAATAAACCTTGTAATCCTAGGTGCTTGCTTACTTTCATTTAAACATAATGAAGGTGGATAAGATGATAATTTGATGATTGTTTTTTGTATTACTCCATAATATTAGAATTTGTATCATGTTTAAAATTTTTGATTTCAATCCAAATTCGTGTTTTGATAATGACCAAATGTTTCTTATTTTATTGACATATTCATATTGTAATGAATATCAGTTTATATCAGTAAGTGTGTGATCGTTAAAAATATAACATCTGTTTTTAATATAAAAATAAAAAAATTCCTAAGATGATAATTTTTTTGTAAATGTTGTTATTTCTGGTGAAATAATGGTTTTAGCTACATGTAAATGTTTCTAACATAATCATTTTGCTTGATTCTCTCAGTAATCCCATAACAAAAAAAAAACCAGAACTCTAGAAGTTGTTGCCTAATTGTTTGACATTTTGTTGGCTTAAATTATATAGCAATAACAGAAATGTAACCTTTTTTTTATATACAATTCTCACATAAGTGACATTCCTATTTTTCTAGTTTTCTGTAGAAAATAAAACTAATGGAACGGATAATCAACATGTAACCGTCAAAGGAAAGAATGATAGTTGCATAAAAAGTATAAGGGATATTTATAATTATAGAAGCTATTTTGTATTGTTATTGTTGGTTTTTAAAACTTAATTATAATTTTATAATTAGTAATATTTAAATGAAAACTTAGTTAAATTAAAAAAAACTAGAAACAAAAAAATCCTTTTAAAAGTTTTTAAATTATATTAGACTGTATAAAATTTAATTAAATTATAAAAATTAAAAAAGTTACCTAATTATAAAGGCTTAAAAACAAATTTTGAGAGTTTATTATTTGTTATTTTATTTAATAAAAAAAGAAAAAGATTTAAAAAAAAGTATCAATTCTCTCATGTTTACCTTTGACATGTAGGTCATATAAATCTTAATCATTAATTCAATGACAAATTAAGAGTTAGCAATTAATAGTCAACAATTAGAAATTAATTTTTAATGTTACTTTTTCTATAAATTTTGACATATAATTATGACCATTGATCTTGTTCTGTCTTGGAGACAGAGATGTCTAGACCAGTGGACTAGTATGTTGATCTTGGATCTAGTGTCCGCTCTAAGATATTTATGGAGAATATACCCTTGAGTCAAGCAGATCACTGTGCACAAGAAAACGATAACGACTTTGCCAAGGGGTGTGTGTGTGCGCTCAGTGATAGCATAACAATTAGATAGAGAGCATAACGTACCTGTAGATTTTACCTCTTATTTCTAGGGTTTACCTGTGGGTAGTAGATTCTGGATCTTTAGTGCCTCTGATGGTGGCCCAGGCCCATATATCATTTTTTTCGTATTAGGAGTGGTATCCTTCATGGATATCCTTCCATAGTTATGCTTGATTTAAATCTTAGATTGTTCCTTGTTGGGCCTGTCAATCAATGGACCCCTTATATGGGTCCATAACAGTTGCCCCTCAGTCAGGCTGCCTGGGTGTCCGGGCTGCCAGAGTGAATTTCTTTTTGCATCAATCCAAGTTTTTATCGAGAATGCTCGGGTTTTCGTGAATTCCTTTCGCATTTGTTATGAGCTTCAAAATTTCTGGAACGGGGAATAGTACTTCATTGTCCCTTATCTCGTCGAGTTGAGTATGCAACCAGTGAGATACTATATATATTTATTTTGACCGGGTTATGGATGGACTTGAGTTGTTAGGATCCAACTGGCAAATTTCCCCCAAGCACATCGCTCCTGCAACCCGGCTTGGCATCCTTATGTCTGGGTGTCCAATTCCTAGATCCCTGTTACAAGTTCTTATTATCCCCGTTACATATGTGATGATCCATTCAGGTCCTTTCAGGATTCTGGCAACTTTTATGTCATCAATCATTTCATTTTGACATGTGGTGCTTGTCGTCTGCATTAGGGTGCTGCAGCTATTTTGTACCGCTTTTGCATTTCAAGCGCATTTATTGAATGAGTCATTTCAGTCATCTAATCATTACTTTTTAGGGTGTAATAACAGCAATGCCTCTGACCTTTGCAATTCTGTAACCATTGCGGTTACCACTACCAGTATATAAACGTGCCTGATTTTCATTCTTTCTCTTTTACCTTGGTCATTCTGCAGAAGTTCTTTTTTATGCAATTTCTTGAGTGCTAGTATATATTTGCAAACATGCTTTCATACACTCTTCAACTTCATTTCTTCTACTCAGGTATTATTGTTTATATTCCAACTTCTTTTCTTCTCCTCTTCAGTAGTTTGCATTTGGCCATTTGATTTCTAAATATTTGTCCTTTGAATTTTTGTTCTTGATATATCATTCTGGTAAATCGTTTGCTGGTTGCATTTTTTAGTTTCGTCAGTGATTTGTTCTTATCTTATCATCTGAACCTTAATCACCAACACACCGAGTGAAACCCCCTTTCTATTGCATGAATGATTTTTGTAAAAAAGAAGAAGAAGAGACTTTGTACTATATCCGTAAGCCCATCTCCTCCATCGTACCTTGAAGCATGAAACTATCTATGGGTCGCCGTTCACCGCCCTATTTGCTGGTGGTTAGGGGTTAGCTTCTGGTCCATAGTTCTTCAAGCATCAGGTTCAAAACCCTAACTTTTTACTCTGATTCTACCATCTCTCATCATCGAGCCATACCCATTTTTGTTTTTTTTCTCTCATCTCGTTGTCATTCGCTGAAACCTTGTTGGTAGAACAACTCCAATTTCAACTCTCTATCTCATCATACAAGGCTGGAATTCTTATCCTTTTCACTTACTGAACCATTCTACCTCATCGCAATACCATAACCCCACCTTCTTTTCTTCGCTTCCAAGAACACCCATTCTCCTTTTCTGCATTTTGTGCTTATTTTAATTTGGTAAATATTTAAGCTTAGGAGGGTGTTTATCTCTGGCAGGTTACCTTTTATTAATAAGATTATTGGGTGGCTAAGGCTATTTTCTTTGGGTTGTTTAACTCATTCAAGATTATTCTGATGGGGTGGTTGTAATTGATACGTACTTACCTTTGAATAATCAATTATGTTGTAGTGTGTGGCTATAATGGTTTATAATATCCAATTTTCACTACTGTTCATAAAAGTAATTGGTGGAATATGTTTGTATGATGGCTGTGTGATGGATTTTTGAAGTGCTTGATTTATTAGTGATAAGGTTCGGAAAGCAAATGGATTTAAGGAATTTGATATATTGCTATGCATTTGAACACCTCGGAAAACATACTCTATGTTCATTCTTTTATATACTCCAGTGTATTGCTCCTTATGGTCAATTTTTTTTTTTTTTTGGAGATGCTTGTTATTATCATGTGAATTTTGACATCAGAGTTTGTGGATAGTGAAATATGCTTAGAGCCATTGATCTTGAAATTTACTGTCATATGCTTCTGCTATGGTATATCACTTGGCTGCATTTTTTGAGCAAACTATTTGATCATGAGCTAAATTTTGTTTAGGGATATCAAATACTGCTTCCTGCTGATCTCTTGTGATATTTCTGAGTTTATTCTTTTTCTTTGCTAATAGCCACTTTCCTTTCTATTTGCTCACTGATCCATGTTTCAGTGAATAATGGCACCTAAACCAGATCAGACAGATAGAAATAAGGCGACATAAAGAGAATGATCTAGTTTAAGTGGAAGAATCTTCTTTTGAAGACTAAGACTCCTCCTTCTCAACTGACCATTTCATGGTCATCCAGGTTCTATTATCATGTTTTCTGCAATCTCACATGTCTCTTTTGTTTATATCACTCCCTATTATATAAAGTTTTGTAATTGCTGTGAGGACACAACTGCATTTTAAGTTTGGGGTGGTATACATGGTACATATGCAATGTTGATTAATTTTGCATGCTGAGTTTGAGGAAAGGATGAAAAATATGAAAGTTTTTGAACTTGAACAGTAACAATTCTTTGATTTATCTATACATGTGACAACAATTATCATGAATTCAACTATGTTGATCTTGCATATCTTATTAGCTCTATGTCTATTTCATTCCAAGTTGGTTAATTAGCCATGCATCATCTATGTTACACTTCATGAGAGCAGTCTTAACATGACTCAGCTTAGTTCATGTTATATCACTGAATAAAAACCTTGGTGAGGATTTGGACCCAAACACATATACTTTATTGTTGAGTGGTCACTCTACTTTGTTGTCCTTAACTTATATTACACCTAGGTGACTAGTGTTATCATTTCCATGTGATAAGGGCACTTTTTTCTAATTGTTTAGGCTAGAGCCAAAAAGCCTTACCTTTGTGATTAATTTTAATCCCTTGATCCCTTATTTGAGCATGAGCTTTTTCTTTTCTGTTTATATACCCATGATATCAAAAGCCAACTTCCCCAATCCATCCTTTTAGGCAAGCCTTAGTATTTGGTTAATTCTCACTAGGCTGCAATGCAAGAAAATAAGTAAGGCAAAGGGAAGCCAGCTAGAAGAGAGTGGTTATATAAAAAAAAAATATAGAAGGTGATCAGGAAGAGATTAGAAGAAAACGATAAGTAAAAAAAAAGGATATAAAAAGGGGAAAAAGAAAAGAGAAAGAAAAATAAAAAATCCCCTGTGCATTAAAAAAAATAGAAAATAGAAGAAAAGAAAAATGAATGTGAAAAGTTAAGGCTGGAAGGAAAAAGAAAACAAGTAGGGAAGGATGATGCATGGTTAATTAGCCATGCATCATCTATGTTACACTTCATGAGAGCAGTCCTAACATGACTCAGCTTAGTTCATGTTATATCACTGAATAAAAACCTTGGTGAGGATTTGGACGCAAACACATATACTTTCTTGTTGAGTGGTCACTCTACTTTGTTGTCCTTAACTTATATTACACCTAGGCGACTAGTGTGATTATTTCCATGTGATAAGGGCACTTTTTTCTAATTATTTAGCCTAAAGCCAAAAAGCCTTACCTTTGTGATTAAATTTAATCCCTTGATCCCTTATTTGAGCCTGAGCTTTTTCTTTTCTGTTTATATACCCATGATATCAAAAGACAACTTCCCCAATCCATCCTTTTAGGCAAGCCTTAGTATTTGGTTAATCTCACTAGGCTGAAATGCAAGAAAATAAGTAAGGCAAAGGGAAGCCAGCTAGAAGAGAGTGGTTATATAAACGAAAAATATATATAAGGTGATCAAGAAGAGATTAGAAGAAAACGATAAGTAAAAAAAAAAGGATATAAAAAGGGGAAAAAGAAAACAGAAAGAAAAATAAAAAATCCCTTGTGTATTAAAAAAATTAGAAAATAGAAGAAAAGGAAAATGAATGTGAAAAGTTAAGGCTGGAAGGAAAAAGAAAACAAGTAGGGAAGGAAGTAAAAAAGAAGAAGAAAGAGAATAAGCAGCTTCCCTTTGTCTTACTTAGACAATATTTTGCTAGGCTAGATGTGAATTAATTAGACACTTAAGGCCAGCCAAAATTAGCCAAGTGTCCGAAAAACAAATATCCAAACCCAGCCTCATTACAAGCCTAAAAGCCCTTTTGATGGAAATGCCACACTAGACATCAAGTGTCTAGGAAATATTGTATGTTAGGCACAACAATGTAGATTTGATGATGAGTGAATGTCCTTAGTGAAAAAAATAAGAGAGATGAGTAATAAAAAATGCCTTGTGAGGAATTCAGTGCATGGCATTGAACTGATATGAGAATGTATAGTGACTGCTTGATATGCATTGTAACATAGTATGTTGTTTGTTTAACTAAAAACTTAGTTTGGACTGAACTGCTGGTTGGTATTGATACTAAAAGACAATATAGTTGATTGATGTTATGGTTAACATGTAATGTGATAAATGAAGAATTGAACTACAAAACCATAATTCGATGCTTGAATGATGAGCTGAATGCTGAAAGAAAGACAATAGCTAACAATGTGCTCACTGAGTTAATATTTTCTTGATTGCTTGAGGACAAGCAAATACTTAAGTTTGGGATATTTGTTAGCACTAAATTATTTATATAGTTATTGTATTATTTTATATTATTTTATATCTTTTTGGGTTGACAATTACAGGAAAATGGACTGAAAGAATATGAAATATGGCCTAATTCAAAAAAGGAAGTAACCAAGCCTAAGTTAATTTAAATTTTGCTGATAATTGTAATTATTCATTTTTTTAGGTATTTTTTGGAAGAAGGCACGTGGATCAAATTTTTTGGAAGAAGGAACACTTCAGAACCATTGGATTAAAGCTTTGAAGGACAACTACTAATTTTTTTAGAATTTTTTTAGTTATTAGATTTTTTTTTTGGTTGTAAAAAAAAATACAGTTTTTTAGATTTAGAATTTCAATCTTCGTTACTGTTTTGTTTTTAGAAGAGTCTGAGTGTTGAGAGATTGTGTTGAAAACTGAATGCATTATTCTTCTTCTTGAGCTCGAAGTGCAGTGACAAAGTATCTTCGCCGGAAGAAAGAATCAATGGTGCATGCAAGTGAAGTTTAAATCTTTCTAGTCTTAGTTTAGTAATTGGTACTTTGGTTTGAACGATTTACTTTGACAACTTTTTGATGATGAGATAAGAGAGAGAAAAATGTATTTTTTATAAGAGTGATTGTGATCAAATAACATGACCACATGATAACTTTTTCACATAAGAGGATCCACTCCCATCCCATATTTATGATATCAGAATGATCCTAGGCTCAAATTGATAACTGTTTATTATTAGAAACTCTTAATTTGAAGTCAATATGGGGTTCTGCAGGTAAATGAAAATGCCAGAAAACGTCCATCTGAGTACGTTGACAACAAATCTTTGTGGAAAAAAATGAAAACCAATTCGAAAAGCAAAAACACATTCTTGGAATCGAAATGGCATCAAGTAAGAGAAGCTTCAGAGATAATCCCTCGGCACAAAGTAAGTAAAATTAACGAAACAATCTTTTTTTGTGGTTTATTAATGTTATCCTTGAGATAACAATGAAACTTGTGTACTATATATATAACATGTCAAGACTTTTAATTTCTCAAAAGGGTGCAAATAAACTTTTTATTTTATTAAAGAGTAGTAATTAAACTGTAAAAGAAAGACAAATACATAATGATTTTGCATTGAATGTTGCATTCAATCATAAGCCTTTTATATTGTCCAATTTTGTTTCCAGTTGCACATGCCTATCAGGAGAAATCAGAAGCTTAGCGATAAAGTTACAACTCTACAAAAGTTGGTTTCACCTTTTGGCAAGGTGAGTGAGTACGTACTTCATTTATTAATAATTAATCAACTCCTACAACTTCAAGAAAGTGACCTTAGGTTTCTGGATATACTGCAGACTGACACTGCATCAGTTCTTCATGAGGCTTCTCTTTATATCAAGCTTCTTCAAGCACAAATCTGGGTATATATTATATTTAGTGCTCCTATCTTCCGGCAGATAATTAAGAATAATACTATATGATGAGCCTAAAACTAATCAAGTCTATTTAAAAATTTTACAGTTCCAATTTTAAAATGCATGACCTATGAGCATCTAGGCTGGCCTACATTTATTCAAAATTATATCATATAATTTTAAATAATATATATTTTTTGGTAATATTTTAAATAATATAATTTTTTTTTGGTAAAACAATAATATAATTAATCATTATATAATGCATGTCAATAAAAACAATATTTCAGAATAGGCTTAGTAATTCATATATTATTAATTAATAATTAAATTATGTGTGAAAATCAATAATTTTTTTTCCCTTTTGTGTTTTAATTTTTTTTCACAGTAGGCTTAGTGATTTTTGTAAGTTTGATAGGCACGAAGGGGTCATAAACTTAGAATTGTGGAGGCTTAAATTGGGTAATAGGTCAGTCTCTTTACTTTTTAAAAAATAAGTCATACTTATAATTTAGTATGCATAAAATTAATAGGTTAGGTTCAGGTGATCAAAATATTCTAAGTATGTCTGACTTATTTAAATCAAAATTTAACTAGACGTAACCTATTTACTCCGTAATTAATAAGGATAGTTTCCCTTGTTTTTCTTGTGGGCAGACACTAGACTATGAGACTCAAGCGACTTGCTCTGAGATTATTCTAATATATATATATATATATATATATATATATATATTATTTTTCTTTTTGTTCTTCTGGGGGTAGCAGAATTTGTTTCAGATGCTAAGTGTCTCTTACATTAGTAAGGCTGAAGCCCCTCATACTCAGGTATAGATTATGAATTGTCATGCTGTGAAATTATTTTCTCATTTATTGAATGCAACATATTAATTAATACAAAGGTGATATATTAAATACTAACTGCTGGAGTCACATCAGGGATGTGGGCACAAAGTGCAGGTTGACTAAGAGTAGAGGACTTTGTTTGGTTCCCATATCAATCACACACGAAGTAACAATGGAAGACCAGATTCATCATGCTTCTGCCTCTTGAATTATCCTGCCCTGAAATTTCTAATTCAACAATTATGAACAGCATCCTGAAATTTCTAATTCAACAATTATGAATAGCATGATGCTGACTATATATATATATTTATATATATATATATAAAATTATTTCTACAGCTGCTTTACGTACAACAACGACAGGTGTATGGTTATGATTTTTCACATTTAACAGTTTGATATTTTGTATGGTTATGATTCCCCGCATTTAATGCTTTCAAATATATATATATATATATATACATATATATATGGCAAGTATTTGATTGTTGTACGTACAACAGCTGCAGAAACGTAAACTCCATATATATATATGGGAGGGTTATTTTGACTCCAGAGTAAGACTTTTAAATTTTACTCCTCATCTTAGCCATTAATGAACGAAAATCAATAGTTGTTATTTGTAATGTAATTAATAATTAATTAATATGACTTCCTAAACTATAACCGTTGGATGGACGGAAATCAAGGACTGAATGAGCAGTAAGACTTATAAATCTTACTCTGGAGTCAAATGATCTCTCTTTTATATATATACTAGTATATTACCCGTGCGATGCACGGGGGAAAAAGATCAAAAAATTTGTCGTCCGCCGTGGTTGGTTAATCGCACTGCAAACCTTATATTTACAAAAAACTGTGTTGTTATTTTGTTCTATATTTCAGGTGAAAAAAATTACAACATTGACACAGAGCTTTGCAAATATCATCCACAAACAAAAATATGTTATTCAGAGGGATAATTAATTTTGTATACAACTACACCATAATACGTTATAATACACCATGTTAACATGAGAAAGGGATATAAAAAGAAAAATGCGTACAAATCATTGCTACCTATAACATTCATCAACAAAATCAAGGTAACAATAACACCAAGCAAATATGGATTTAAAATATAAGCTTTTACCTATAATATGAAAACGCTATTCATTCAGTGTCATTTCTTAGCAATCATTGGAGGGATGAGTTCAACACTTACTAAATATGTCATTTCTTGTGTGATTTTCGTTCCTTGTGCCTACGATACATAAGGCAAAAACTCATTAAATAAGTAACACTAATATGTTAACACCCAAAAGTCGTAGTATCAGCAAAAAAAAAAGATTGGAGTAAATTTTTTTAAGGACCAAAAAAAATGTTGTCTGAACGAGATTTGAATGCAACTTAATCAAATAAGCATGTATAAGTCATATTTTTTGCTTACATTGCAACAAATGCATATGAACAAAACAAAAGCAACTACACTAATCTTTGAGATAGACTTTCATTTATTGCAATCACATTTAAAAAATAATAATAAATAATTATTATTTGCAAGGATTTGTGTCGTTAGTATTTGGAATTTTACAAATTTGTACTTACAAAAATAAAAATCAGATTTAGGAATTTAATTATAAAAGAAGAAGGATGAAATATTAATTTAATTATAAAAATATGTTTGTGGGTCGGCCCTCTTGGCCAAGTCCAGTTGGCCATCTCTAACAATTAGCATGTAAAAGGTTTTTATATTTATCCACAAAAAAAGATTTTTACAATTGCGTCTAGGTTTTTATATTTTATCTCAGAGATAAACTTTCATTTACTACGATCGTTTTATAAAATTATAATAAATAATTGAATCTGGTCTTCTTGTATCAAAAACCATTCCAATTTTAATGATATATTCAGCATGAAGACTCTCGATTATGTTTCTGTTATTGGTAGGCCCTACTTATTGTTCACTTCAGATTATTGAATCCAAGTTCTCTGGAATAGGAAGACCAGTATTCTAATATTTTATTGCATATGATAGGTACACAGTTGATATTTCAAATATATGTTATCATGTTGACACTTCAATTGTGCTCCCTTTTTCGCCCTTAGAAAGAAAAACAACATTTCCTAATTGAGATTGGAAGCATATTACAATAAACCATTATAATTCTGATTTTCGAAGTATGATGATAACATGATGAAATTATACAAAAACACTGCATGCGTAATAAATCAAAGGGATAAATAATATGAAGATGTGTCAGGACTAATGTCCTGAGCTACCTAGAGGAGGTATACTGCGTTGGTATCATCAGGATAGTGTTGTAAGAGCTTTAAATTAGCCACAAAATCACCACTTAGGAGTCTGCTTTTCACGCAAAGTAGCATTGCACAACAGATCCGAAAAAGCATATCTTGCACCAAAAAAAAAAGAGTTTAGCCAGGTAACTTATCAATCATCTAAATGACATAATAAAAGCAGCCAAACACAATAAAGTCTACACGAAGAATATTATAGATTGAGTATTAATTTTATTTTAAAAGAATGCCGAGGAGTTCATTTGAGAGAGAGAGAGAGAGAGACCTGAACACCAAAAGGATTACTTAGAAGTGTATCCCATATTCTCAAGATAGTCTCAAATTTGAACTCTTGTGTAAGTAGCAGTGTAATCCACCGGAAAGCATAGAATTGTGGTTTAACCTGTTCATGAGGCTCCTTGGCATCAATTTTAAATAGAATGAAACTGTACAAGTTGTTGAATTAAAAAAGTCGAAAGATTCTACCTTTGTTGTAAATTCACGATGATTCCATAATTGCTCATCATTTACTTTTAGCAAATCTGACAAACGTGAAAGAGTAGAAAGGATGCCACTTGAACTATTATCCAATTGTTCACAGAAATGATCCACTGAATCACCTAAGATTCGAACAAAACAAGAAAAACTATCTGCTCCTGCATTCGCCTAAGACAAAGAAAACAGAGCAAAAAGTAAATACTAAAGGACAAAATTTATTACCAAAATAAAAGGATGAAATGATATCCCTTTATGTCAGCTGATATTTATGCAGGCAATCCTCAAGAACAAAATTGTGATGGATACGAGAGGATGACAATTGGTATACATTAATTATGTATTTTAAAGATGATCTAGTCTAATAACCCATCTGCAAAGTTATACAATTTATGGTTGTTCGGTGTAATGGATACTGGTCAACATACTAAAAAGGTTTTTGAATTATGCATGATTGGTGTTGGTTCATCTCTAAAACAGATGATATTAAACGTCTAAATTATCTAGCAGTATAACTTGAGGCATCTGCACATGATAGGGTAAATAGAAGAAGCGTTTCTGGAATCATAAGCAATATGGAAAGTAATATATACTAAAAATTTAAATATTCAAAACACAAGTTAGACCCTCCTTCAACCATGGATTTTGGTTTCTGTTGAGTACATATATTATATACGTCATCATATTAATATATACCATGCATTAACCCCATTGAAAGGAAAACAATGGGAAATGTTGGCACTGAAATCTGGTCATCGAAGGGAAAATATGGGTTTTGAGGTAATCTCAATTTCTTCCGTGCTGGTGAGAAAGGGGAAAGATGGATGGTAGGCATGTTTGATACCAATTCAACCAACCAAGGGTTCACCCTTTTTACATTTTGAAGTAACTCTGGTTCATCCCATGTAACCTAAAAATATGAATTCAGAAGGTTATTCAGAGCTGAAATAAAATAGAGATTTACTTGGAACAAAAAAAGAGAGGAGTGGGCTTCAATGCTTTCATATGAAAAGTGGGGGCATATAACATGGTTTTAAATTTGATAAACATGCAAAACGGAATTAGAAACGAGATGCTCATCAAACATAATGAATTTCGTTAATAATTTCTCCAGTAGAAAATTTATCAGCAACAGCAATGTTTCGCTGTTCATATATTATTTAGTCCAAATGCAAATGAAGCATGCATTTCATTGAGCAAGTAGAATGAAAATTTTTCCCTAATAATTTCCATACATAATATACAACATAGAAACCACCAAATCAACCACAAAACAAATAAGAGATAAATCGAGGATAAATAAACCAATTAAACTGCATTTGCTTAAATTGAATGGCATTTTCAAAGATTCACATTGTAATAGCCATACCTCAAAACACAATCTAATGAGTTTTGGCAGTCAAATTAAACCCGTGAATTTTAGAAATGCATATAAGCACTAAAAAACTAGGTATGCAAACCTTCATTCTTCTCATCTTGTATGTGAGGCATTACAACCAGAGGTTGCATTGGTTTCCGATAGGAGAAGCTCCGACTCCAACTTCGAATCACTAGCGAAAAGAGAGAAAGAGAATGAGGGATGACAGAGAAGTAGATCGTAGAGAATGAAAAAGTAGATAATCATAGGGTTAGAGAAAGAGAACGATGGAGTTAACTTCACCATCGTGTTTGACACGTGCATTATCAAGGGGGTGGAGTGCTACTGCTGATTGTGCGTACAATAATTGAATCTGAGAGAAATAGAAAAAGAAATTTGAAGAGAGTCCAAGCAAATTACAACGATGCCACGCGGGTCAAGTGCAATGCACAATTTTGAGGAAAGTGTGTTACGTTGCCTAATTGCGTAGGGAGTCTTGAGGTTTTCTTAAGCTTTTACCCAAACATTTTGTAACTGTAGTTATATTGCCGTGGTTAAGCACCGGTTTTCTTGTAGTGACAAGATATTAAAGTATTAATATCGTTGACCAATGTAATTCTCAAAAATTAATATATTATTTTAATATTAATCTATTAAAATAAAAATTAGTTTTTCAATATATTAATTTTTAAATATTGAATATTTTTATTTTTATAAAAATTAATTTATATTTTGAACACGCTGATCAATAAATTTTTATAAAAATTAATATCATATGATATTTTTTTGAAGAATTATATAAATTCTTTGTTTAAGGATATTTTTATTAAAAATATTTATTTTTATTCTATATAGTATTATACAGTGCATTACCAAATACTAGATGATATTATTTTATACAATACCGTACCAAATGCTGGATAGTATTAAAATTCAATAAGGTCATATAAATCAGGCCTTATACTATCAGATCTTATACTATTAGACCTTATCCTATACTATACACCAAACAAGCCCTAAGCGTCGGACCTACGACCAAAGACCCATTAGGCATTAATTAATTAATTAATCAATTACTTGGTTCTGTATCAGTTTCTTTGTAGTTAACTATATATAAAATTTGATCTTCATGTAATGTAAAGAACCTTGGGATACACCACCCCAAAAGCTAGCTCAAAGGGTGGGAGTGTCCAAGGCCTTATAAAGGTCACATTAGTTGCCCATACAATCAATGTGGGATTATATATCTCAACACGCCCCCTCACACGAGAGCCTATTGGGCTTGAAGCGTGGATTATGCACAGGTCCAATTTTTTATTTACCTTTTTGTGCTTTTTATTTTAATTCCACTTTAAAGTGGAGACAGTGAGGATTGAACTTGTGACATGAGGCTCTGATACCATGTAAAGAACCTTGGGATACACCACCCCAAAAGCTAGCTCAAAGAGTGGGAGTACTCAAGGCCTTATAAAAGTCACATTAGTTGCCCATACAATCAATGTGAGACTATATATCTTTAAAGGACAAATGCGAATGATGAACCAAATCCCATTACCTAATTAATCACCGGTCTTAATCAGTATCACAAGGAAATAGCAAGACAAATAAACAAATAATTGAATCACTTAAATTTGTTACTTTATTTGATTTTATCTATTATGAAAACAGTAGGCCATTGAAGTACTCTCTTCGACCATTTCACATGACACCTGATCTGGATAAATATTATACAAATATAAGACCCAAATCAAAGGTCTTCACCATTAAGCAAAGCTCTTAGTCCACTAAGACTGCAAAGCCCATCTCTCCAAGCTGCATTAAAGACTCCATGACAGCAAACTCCACAAGCTGCTATCTCATCTTTATCCCCAAGCTCATGACAGCCATCAAGCTGCACAATATTAATGGCCTTATCTCATCAAGCTCCTCAACATTAAACATGGCAGCTCTATTACTTTGCCTCCAAGACAAAGCAAACCTGATCACTGAGTAACATCTCCCAAGCTGCTCATCACTTTACTATATACATACCTATTAACACAAAGGTACACATCTTCTCCTTCATAATAAAACCTGCTTGAACCATAACTGACTTGAGCGTCGGAGTGTCTTGTAGGTACACCCCCATCTCGTTCCATAGAAAACCCATAGGATAAAGCGGCCCAACTGCAAGATGCTCTGACCCAAGGCGGTTCCAGGCTGTGCAGAGGAAGATCACATAATCTGCCCAATTGTAAAAACCTGTTCTGATCAGCACCCTAATTAAAGCTTGCCTGATCGATGAATTTAATCTAGTAGTTTAAATTCATAATCAGTATTAATTGTCAGAAATTTCACTCAATCTCAAATGAGAAATCTCACTCAAATAACCAATCATATAGCTCTGATTCCTTGAATTCTTTTCCTATTCTTAGTATTGTTCAATTGAACATACATGAGTTTTTGTGACAAGAAGAGTCTACAAGTAGTGATCCAAAAAATTCAATGCAACACCTTAGTCCTTGACCAGGTGATGCATTGAATTATTTTCCTATTCTTACTCTAAAAGCTATATTATTTGCATATGTCTATGTGTCACACTAATTAATACACACTTTTTGTCCATTTGAAGGCAGGCACTGATTAATCAAAATAAAGTCAATCTGAGGTGAAAATGAAATCAAACAGACGACAAATTTAGTAGTTGCTTACTCCAATTTATTCTGAAAGCCCTGAATCCACCTTTCTCCATAACTTGACATGGACGTTTTCTACTCCTTTCATACAATAAATGAGCATTGTCTTCACAGAACTCTGCTTTCCTAAGAATAAAGTGATTCCTTTGTTACACTCCAAGGTAATCAGCATGAGCTACATGACCAAATTCTTTAAGTACCATTAATTATTTGCTACTCTTTCTTATCAAGACCAAAATTCAATACGATTAATAAGCTCTTAATTGGCTTGAATCTCGTTCTAAACATCCTCTCTTAGGGGCCTTTTTCATTGCAAATAAAGCCAGACTTTTTAATCAGAGGTACTAAGTTGTATTTGGTTTTTTTATGGCTAGCCTTTCACGTGTGAAATTTCATAGCATTTTTCATTTCGGGTTTGGCTGTTAGTTTGTATTCTTCATTAGTTGGGAATCATTTTAGCATGTCATCATGTTAGTATTTTTATTCTGTGAGAACTCCAAGTTCAATTCTGGTATAACTAACTCTTTATCATCGTTTTTTGTTAACCAAAGAATCTACATTTAAGTTTGAGTGCTTGTGAACAATTTTGGACTTCAAATTGTTTCAATCTTCCATTATGATCAGTAAACAAAGCTGTAACCTTCTCTTCCAATCCTTGGAGTGTAAAGTCATCTTAATGCATCAGCAAGATCATTTTCTGCCATTTGATTGAACTACAAATTTTTACTTCTTGATTGATCTGCAGGTGCCAATATGTCAGAAGCTAGTCCTCATTCCATTGATATTGCAAAAATGAGAAATGCTCTTCTAGCATCTGTTTCTTCACGGCTTCACTGCTATGGTAATAACTTTAAAGCTATTGAGTTGCAAACTTTCTTTAATGTTCAAACTTAATTACCAAGCTTTTGCTGAATTTCTTTGGCAATTCAGGAAGTGATGAAGTTCAGTTGGGAAATCTTAAAGGTTCCATGCAGATGAATGACTTAAGGTAAGTGAATAAATTGCCATTTAGTAAAAACAAATCAACATGATAATATAAGCATTTTATTATAGTATGTAATAATACCATTATTTTTTATCATCAATTAATATTTACTAAATACATATCGATATGATAATATAGGCAAAATAAACCAGACAAAGCTTATTCCTTCAAATGTTATTTGTATTTGTTTAGCCAAAACTAGTTTGAAAGAGTTCACACTATAGATGTGGTTAAACCGTTTTATTGTGAAAATTACTCTTCGAATTCATGGAATAACCTCTTAAAAATATATATAAAAATAAGGCTACTTTTGTTCTTTAGTTTATTTGGGTCATATGCCTGAAAAAAATTTGAGACTTAAATATGAATACAATCAAAATATCAAGGTTAGGTATCAATCCTAAAAACCTCAATAAAAAATTTAAATTAATTTTACTATTTACAATCTGCATAAATTAAGTATATTTTTTTTTTCAGATCCTGGTCCACTTCTTAGAGTTTCTCTGATTGTAATACTCTCTTAAGTGGTCATTTTCATAGCAATGGCTTCAACATGGAGTCTCAATTATTCAACTATGACAACCAATTGGGTGATGGAGTCTATACACATCCTAGGCAGCCTAAGTCTCTGATTTATGACAACAATCATCAACCAGGTTTGGTTCATTTCCTTTTCATTACTAGGTCTTACAATCTCCTTTTTTTTCTACCTACTCTGCTTATTATATATTCAGATATAATTTTGCACCTAATTGGTGGAAACTATGAAGATATCTAATAATTGAAGACTAATATAGCTCTTTGTTAGACAGGTTGTCTACTATATGCCATCTCAAGCAGCAAAGACATTTCTCAGCAATCATTGTTACTTGACAAGGACCCTTCACTTTCTCAATATGAAGGAGTAATACGCCAATATTTAGCCCTCTTTTTTATTCGTATCTTGAATTTTTTTTATTTTTTGTTTTTAGTCTAGATCCGGCTCCGTATCCTAGTATAAAATGTTTGCTGCAACTTTTTTCATCTGCAGCAGCAGAAACGAGAAACCCTTCCAATATATATGATTTCTATTTTGGGAATATATAGTTTCAAACTAAGGGTTAAGTTTTAAGATACTTCAAGCGGATCAATATTTATGATATCAGAATATGGTCCTAGGCTCAAATTGATTACTGTTTATTAGAAACTCTTAATTTGAAGTCAATATGGGGTTTTGCAGGTAAATGAAAATGCCAGAAAACGTCCATTTGAGTACGTTGACAACAAGTCTTTGTGGAAAAAAATGAAAACCAATTCGAAAAGCAAAAACACATTCTTGGAATCGAAATGGCATCAAGTAAGAGAAGCTTCAGAGATAATCCCTCGGCACAAAGTAAGTAAAATTAACGAAACAATTTTTTTGTGTGGTTTATTAATGTTATCCTTGAGATAACAATGAAACTTGTGTACTAAATATAACATAACATGTCAAGACTTTCAATTTCTCAAAAGGGTGCAAAGAAACATTTTATTTTATTAAAGAGTAGTAATTAAACTGTAAAAGAAAGACAAATACATAATGATTTTGCATTGAATGTTGCATTCAATCATAAGCCTTTTATATTGTCCAATTTTGTTTCCAGTTGCACATGCCTATCAGGAGAAATCAGAAGCTTAGCGATAAAGTTACAACTCTACAAAAGTTGGTTTCACCTTTTGGCAAGGTGAGTGAGTAACGTACCCATAATGAACAGAAGTTGGGTTCTTCATTTATTAATAATTAATAAACACCTTCAACTTCAAGAAAGTGACCTTAGGTTTCTGGATATACTGCAGACTGACACTGCCTCAGTTCTTCATGAGGCTTCTCTTTATATCAAGCTTATTCAAGCACAAATCCGGGTATATATTTAGTGCTCCTATCTTCAGGCAGATAATTAAGAATAATACTATATGATGAGCCTAAAACTAAGTCCATTTAAAAATTCCACAGTTCCAATTTTAAAATGCATGACCTATGAGCATCTAGGCTGGCCTACATTTCTTCAAAATTATATCATATAATTTTAAATAATATATTTTTTTTGGTAATATTTTAAATAATATAATTTTTTTTTGGTAAAACAATAATATAATTAATCATTATATAATGCATGTCAATAAAAAAAATATTTCAGAATAGGCTTAGTAATTCATATATTATTAATTAATAATTAAATTATGTGTGAAAATCAATAATTTTTTTTCGCTTTTGTGTTTTAATTTTTTTTCACAATAGGCTTAGTGATTTTTGTAAGTTTGATAGGCACGAAGGGGTCATAAACTTAGAATTGTGGAGGCTTAAATTGGGTAATTGGTCAGTCTCTTTACTTTTTTAAAAATAAGTCATACTTATAATTTAGTATGCATAAAGTTAATAGGTTAGGTTTAGGTGATCAAAATATTCTAAGTATGTCTGATTTATTTAAATCAAAATTTAGCTAGACGTAACCTATTTACTCCGTAATTAATAAGGATAGTTTTCCTTGTTTTTCTTGTGGGCAGACACTAGACTATGAGACTCAAGCGACTTGCTCTGAGATTATTCTAATATATATATATATTTTATTTTTCTTTTTGTTCTTCTGGGTGTAGCAGAATTTGTTTCAGATGCTAAGTGTCTCTTACATTAGTAAGGCTGAAGCCCCTCATACTCAGGTATAGATTATGAATTGTCATGCTGTGAAATTATTTTCTCATTTATTGAATGCAACATATTAATTAATACAAAGGTGATATATTAAATACTAACTGCTGGAGTCACATCAGGGATGTGGGCACAAAGTGCAGGTTGACTAAGAGTAGAGGACTTTGTTTGGTTCCCATATCAATCACACACGAAGTAACAATGGAAGACCAGATTCACCATGCTAGCTTCTGCCTCTGGAATTATCCTGCCCTGAAATTTCTAATTCAACAATTATGAATAGCATGATGCTGACAATATATATATATATATATATATATATATATATATATATATATATATATATATATATATGGCAAGTATTTGATTGTTGTACGTACAACAGCTGCAGAAACGTAAACTCCATATATATATATGGGAGGGTTATTTTGACTCCAGAGTAAGACTTTTAAATTTTACTCCTCATCTTAGCCATTAATGAACGGAAATCAATAGTTGTTATTTGTAATGTAATTAATAATTAATTAATATGACTTCCTAAACTATAACCGTTGGATGGAAGGAAATCAAGGACCGAGCAGTAAGACTTATAAATCTTACTCTGGAGTCAAAAGATCTCTCTTTTATATATATACTAGTATATTACCCGTGCGATGCACGAGGGAAAAAGATAAAAAAATTTGTCGTCCGCCGTGGTTGGTTAATCGCACTGCAAACCTTATATTTACAAAAACTTGTGTTGTTATTTTGTTCTATATTTCAGGTGAAAAAAATTACAACATTGACACAGAGCTTTGCAAATATCAACCACAAACAAAAATATGTTATTCGGAGGGATAATTAATTTTGCATACAACTACACCATAATACATTATGATAAATAATAAATAATTATTATTTGCAAGGATTTGTGTCGTTAGTATTTGGAATTTTACAAATTTGTACTTACAAAAATAAAAATCAGATTTAGGAATTTAATTATAAAAGAAGAAGGATGAAATTTTAATTTAATTATAAAAATATATTAGCGGGCCGGCCCTCCGGGCCGAGCCCAGTTTATCACCCCTAACTGTCAGCATTTTATTTAAATAATTTTTTTTTGCAAGGATTAATATCGTTAGTCTTTGGAATTTCACAAATTTGTATTTACAAAAATTGAAATCAGATTTAGTAATTTAATTATAAAAGAAGAAAAATAAAATTTAAATTGAATTATAAAAATATATTGGCGGGCCGGCCCTACAGGCCGAGCCTAGTTTTTAACCTCTAACTGTCTGCATTTTATATAAATAATTATTTTTTGCAAGTATTTGTGTTAATTACACTCTTGCAATAAAAAAATTGAAAGTTTAATTTCTTTCTTATGTATTAAATTAAATTTTCATTTTTATAGTTCATAAATTTTAATAATTTTTTTTTTACAGAATGACAGGCGATATTTTTTATTTAAATTTAAAATTTAAAACTTTTTATATTAATTATACATATTTTTTATATAATTTTTTTCTATTTTAATTTATGATTTTTATATATTTTTTTAATTGGTTATACATGTATATGTAAAATTTTTATTTTAAATATTTTTTTTTAAAAAACATGTATATTATTTTAATTGGTTATACATGTATATTTAAAAGTTTTATGTTAAAATTTTAATTTATTTTTAGTAAAGTATAAATTATGCCATTTCTTATTTTTTTCTTTTAAATTTCAAATTTAAAATAATTTTTATCGACTATAAATGTATTTTTATAATTTTAAATATTTTATTGATTAATCTATAATTTTATATTAAATAAAAATTTATTATATATATCTTTTTTTCACTGCATAAATATTAAATGCTGAACTCTTTTCTCACATATCAAGTTCACATAATTTTTCATTTAATTTATTTCCCAATTTTGAATTTATTTAACAATATAAATAATTTTTTTATTTTACAATTTTTTTCAATGTTTTTGTTTTTTCATGCAGCATTAATAGGGCTAACAATTATCCATGCAAAAAATAGTGGGATATACAACAAAAGAAAAGTAGAGGTCTTTTTACTCGTAATATACAACAAAAGAAAAGTAGTGGGACATTAAATGAGTTGTCTGCCACACAAAATTTTCTAAAAGTTTTCCCATCATTACAAAGTTAAAAATTCAAATTTAAACATAAATTAGAAATTTAGAAGAGTTGAAATCCAAAATTTGAAATCAATTCAGAATTCGAATATCAAAAGAATGAGCAATTCCAATGCAAAAAGCATTTAAAAGAGCTGAGTAATTCCAATGTACAAATCAGTGGGACATTGAACGAGTTGTCTGCCACCATAAATGATTAACTTAATTTTTCACTAATTTTTTATTTTTATTTTTAAAATAAATTATTATTTATTTAATTTTTTATTTCCAAATCCTTTCCCACCATTACAATTTGAAATTTAAAATTGAAATCCAAAATTTGAAATCAATTTAGAATTCGAATTTCAAAAGAGTGAGCAATTCCAATGTAGAAAGCATTTAAAAGAGCTGAGTAATTCCAATGTAGAAATAAGTGGGACATTGAATGAGTTGTCTGCCACCATAAATGACTAACTTAGTTTTCTATTGATTTTTTATTTTGATTTTTAAGAGAAATTATTATTTATTTAATTTTTTATTTTCAAATCCTTTCCCAACATTACAATTTGAAATTTAAAATTGAAATCCAAAATTTGAAATCAATTCTGAATTCGAATTTCAAAAGAGTGAGGAAATACACAGAAGAATTATCATTAAAAATCTTGTTCCTCTATGATTTCAACTTTCAAGGAATGAGAAGAAAATCGAAATGGAGAGTAAATGCGCATTTCCCCTTTTATTTCATTTGATAGCGGCTATCTCCTGATGTCAACCGGCCATTAGTGTTAACATTATTTGCAATAACCGCATTGGGCTGTTTTTTCTTGGACCGAGCACGCTTATTCTGGAACCAATTACAGACATTTTTCTCCGAAATATTTCCATGATTGGCGAGTTCCGCAGTAATCTCGTCATTTTCCTGTCTGGATTCGGTGTCACCTGCTTAAATATTTTCTCCATGATCTGAAGCTGCTCAGTTGTTGGAGTCCACCTCGGCTTCATGTTAAATATTCCCTTTGATGTGTCTCCTCCATACATATTTACCGGCTTAACCACCTCTGAAGTCACTGAAAACACCACACCCATTTGTTTCAGTATATTTGTTACAACCGCCTCAGACCAGTGTAACAAACTCTTAACAGAAACAGCCCTAACACATTCTAACCGTTTAGAATTACACGGTTAGAATGTAAACGGTTAGAATGGGTAACTTACTATAACAAAAAAATTTATTACGGTGAATAATAAGTGATAAAAAAAATAAAATTGTGAAAAAAGATGAATGGAAAAAAATAGGGAATGACCTTGAGGAGGAGCTTGGTGAGCGGCACGGTGTGCCCAGTACTTCTCAGTGACTTGTTCAGAGAGGGTTTCGTAAGCAGCAATTTGTATCATCAGAGTTTCGATTTGTTTTTGGGTCATGGAGACATTCCCGCGCATCATCGTTGCTGCGTTGTGGTTCGAATGCTGCTCCTGAAATCCCATGCCGTTCGACATCTCTTCAATATTTCAATTTTTTTTCATTACAAAAAAGAAAACACTACTTATCATGAGAAAACATGAATGAAAATAATGAACGAAGTTAAAATTAATAAAGAAGAAACCGTTCTTACCGGTGGGGGCTTCTGTTAGCACTTAGCAAGCAGCAACTAGATGCTGTGTCCACTTCGTAAGATTCTCAAGGACATGGTTGGGGCTTGTTATAGTCCAAACTCCACAGGAATGTTCTTGTCCAAGACAATATATATATATATATACTTGCAGCTTTAAAATTATTTTGTGAAGATTATGAATTGATTCTAAATTATATATATATTACGGATGATTTGATTGCATGATAGTACCAAACCTCGAAATCTAGCTACTTTCTTTTTATCATTATGAAATTTTTTACATCATATTTCAAACAAAGACAACGTTGTTGTTTATAAAAATAAATCTTTTTATTTTAAGATATTATTTTTAATTTGAAAATACAAATTAAATTGTCCGATCAAATTTGGAAATCAAATTTAATTATGAAATTAAACTTTGTTTCCTTTCTTACCACTAATAATAACAATAGCGCTCTCTCATTCTTACCTTCAATTACTCCCTATTTCGAGCTCCCTCACACTTAAAACTAACTTAGAAATTCGAGGAGAGATTAAGAACTTATTAGTCATTTAAAATAGTTTGATTGTCTTATGGTCAGATTTAATCTTGAGAAATTAAACTTGATTATAAGAATGATTGACTATGATTGTATAATATTTTTCCTTTCTTAGTTTAATTTGAAATTTAAAATTTAAATCCAAAATTTGAAATCAATTTAGAATTCGAATTTCAAAAGAGTGAGCAATTCCAATGTAGAAAGCATTTAAAAGAGCTGAGTAATTTCAATGTAGAAATAAGTGGGACATTGAATGAGTTGTCTGCCACCATAAATGACTAACTTAGTTTTCTATTGATTTTTTAATTTGATTTTTAAAAGAAATTATTATTTATTTAATTTTTTATTTTCAAATCCCTTCCCAACATTACAATTTGAAATTTAAAATTGAAATCCAAAATATGAAATCAATTCAGAATTCGAATTTCAAAAGAGTGAGGAAATACACAGAAGAATTATCATTAAAAATCTTGTTCTTCTATGATTTCAACTTTCAAGGAATGAGAAGAAAATCGAAATGGAGAGTAAATGCGCATTTCCCCTTTTATTTCATTTGATAGCGGCTAGACCGAGCACGCTTATTCTGGAACCAATTACAGACATTTTTCTCTGAAATATTTCCATGATTGGCGAGTTCCGCAGTAATCTCGTTTATCATTTTCCTGTCTGGATTCGGTGTCACCTGCTTAAATATTTTCTCCATGATCTGAAGCTGCTCAGTTGTTGGACTCCACCTCGGCTTCATGTTAAATATTCCCTTTGATGTGTCTCCTCCATACATATTTACCGGCTTAACCACCTCTGACGTCACTGAAAACACCACACCCATTTGTTTCAGTATATTTGTTACAACTGCCTCAGACCAGTGTAACAAACTCTTAACAGAAACAACCCTAACACATTCTAACCGTTTACAGTTACACGGTTAGAATGTAAACGGTTAGAATGGGTAACTTACTATAACAAAAAAAATTTATTACGGTGAATAATAAGTGATAAAAAAATAAAATTGTGAAAAAAGATGAATGGAAGAAAATAGGGAAAGACCTTGAGGAGAAGCTTGGCGAGCGGCATGGTGTGCCCTGTACTTCTCAGCGAGTTGTTCAGAGAGGGTTTCGTAAGCAGCGATTTGTATCCTCAGAGTCTCGATTTGTTTTTGGGTCATGGAGACATTCCCGCGCATCATCGTTGCTGCGTTGTGGTTCGAATGCTGCTCCTGAAATCCCATGCCGTTCGACATCTCTTCAATATTTCAATTTTTTTTCATTACAAAAAAGAAAACACTACTGATCATGAGAAAACATGAATGAAAATAATGAACGAAGTTAAAATTAATAAAGAAGAAACCGTTCTTACCGGTGGGGGCTTCTGTTAGCACTTAGCAAGCAGCAACTAGATGCTGTGTCCACTTCGTAAGATTCTCAAGGACATGGTTGGGGCTTGTTATAGTCCAAACTCCACAGGAATGTTCTTGTCCAAGACAATATATATATATATATATATATATATACTTGCAGCTTTAAAATTATTTTGTGAAGATTATGAATT